TCATGAATGCCGTCTTCTCGGCGTCATCTTCATGCATGGAGATCGGGTGGTACCCTCTGAAAGCGTCGAGGAACGACATCAACTCGCACCCCGCCGTCTCGTCCACCAGCTGATCAATGTTGGGGAGAGGGAACGGGTCCATGGGGCATGCCTTGTTCAGGTCAGTGTAGTCAACACACATTCTGAACGTCGGCGGTTTCTGAGCGAGGACGACGTTGGCCAACCATGTCGGGTACTTCACCTCTTTGATGTGTTTGGTTGAGAGGAGCATGGCGACCTCCCCTTTGACGAAGTCCCGCCTGTCGGCGGACAAGTAGCGCCGCTTCTGTTTGACAGGCGCGGAGGCCGGATCGACGGTCAGCCGGTGAGTGATCACCTGGCGGCTGATGCCTGGCATATCGTCCGGGCCCCACGCGAAGACAACGGCGTATGACCGTAGGACGAGGAGGATGGTGTCTCGTTGGTCCTGGGGGAGTTGCTTTCCGACCCGGAGAACCCGCTCCGGCCGGGAGGTATCCAGAGGGATTTCCTCGACCTCCTCGGCCGGCTCAGCATGTGGCCTTTCCTCGTCCGCGGCGACGGCGGCCGTGATGGTGTCTATCCTCTGGCCCTCCCTCTCGGCCGGCCTTTTCAGTTTGAGGTAGCATGCCCTGGCTATCCTCTGGTTTCCTCTGGCGTAGCCGATGCCGTCGTTGGTGGGGAACTTCAGGCACAAGTGCTTCATGGAGATGATGGCCTCCAAGTCCTCCAGCACTGGCCGCCCCAAGATCAGGTTGTGGGCGCACTGGAGGTTGACCACCATGAACTCCATGTTAATTCTGGCATGGTGGGGGCCGTCACCGACCTCCACGGGGAGGACTATCGTGCCCTCGGCGTCGATAGCGTCCCCGGTGAAGCTGGATAACGGGGTCTTGATCGGCTTCAGCAGAGCTCTGTCCAGCTTCAACTGCTTGAAGGTGTCCAGGTACATCACGTTGACGGAGCTCCCCGTATCGATGTAAGTACGGTGGATGATGGAGTCACCGATCTCACATCGGATGACGAGGGCGTCCCTGTGTGATTCCGTACCCGGAGGTAGATCCTTGTCGGTGAAGGTGATCGCCTCCGTTCGCTGCTTCTTCGGCTAGGGGGGAACGTGGGACACCTCCCCAATGTAAAGGGATTGGGCCCATTTCTTTCTCTGAGTGGCGGAGTCCCCCCCAGTGTTCCCACCTACGATGAGGTGGATGTGATTCTTCTTCGGCGGGGGCTCTTCGAAGTCCTCGTCGTCGCTGAGCCTACCAATCTCCCGCTTCTTCGCAGAGGGTTCGCCCCCATGTTTGCCGGTGTTTACCCAAGTGTTCTTGCGTGGGCCACCTTTGACAAACTGGGAGAGTTCCCCCCTGGCGAATAAGGCGCTCGATGGCCTTCTTCAGTGTGATGCAATCGTCGGTGTTGTGCGACGAGTTCTTGTGGAACCGGCAGTATGTGCCGCCCTGCTGGATGGCAAGGACCTCCTCGGCCGGCCGAGGAGCCTGCTCGATGAGGCCGTGCTTCTCGGCATAATCGAGGATGGTGCCGACCGGGTGGGTGAGGGTTACCCCCGACCTTTCTAGCCTCGGCCACCAGTGGCGATCCTTCTTACTCTGTCCACCAGAGCCGTGACGGCCCTGGGCACCTTGGCCGGCCGGGGACGGACCCGGGGCCGGCGAAGGATTTGTCTTCCTGGAGGGATGCCCCCCCTCTCTCTTGTGATTGTGGAGCTTGTCAGTGTCAGCATACAAGCCGCCGCGCTGGAGCGCCTTGGTGTACGACCTCGGGGGGTCGGTGATGAGGCTCCTAGCGTACGGGGAGCTCCGGAGGGCTCCTTGATACAAGGCGAGGAGGGTGCGCTCATCGGCCCCCTCGACCTCCTCGGTTTCCCTCGTCCATCGATCAATGAAGGACCGGAGGAACTCCTCGTGCTGCTGTTTGACGGAGAGGAGGTGGGTGAAATACTTCTTCGCGCGCTTCCTCCCGGCAAAGTGAGTGAGGAAGCGCTGGGCGAGATCCTGCCATGAGTCGATGCTCCCTTCGGGGAGCCCGTTGAACCACTCGTACGCTGGCCCCTCGAGAGTAGAGAGGAACCAACGGCAGAGGTATTCGTCGGACGAGTTCACCATCAGCATGTTGTTCTGGTAACGGCTGAAGTGTTCCTGGGGGTCTGATCGGCCATCATAGGACTTGATGGCGTTCCCCCTGTACTTCTCCGGGATGGAGGCCGAGAGGACCCTGTTGGTGAAAGGGGTCCTGGTCCTGACCTGGATGATGGGGTCACCTCGCCCTTCGCCAGCTCCCTCTCCAGGGCGCTAACTTTGTTCATGAGCGCGTTGAGGCCGGGGTCGTTGGAGGCGCCGGCCGTAGGGATGTTGGCCGACTGCTTGGCCTCCATCTGAGCCAGCCTCCTTTCCAGCTGGGCGATGACCTCGTCCCGGGGGTCCCTGTCGGCCGCGGCGGCGCCCGGCTGGTTCCTCATGCGCTCGTTGTGAGCCGCGTTGATCTGGTGACGCACGTCACCCTCGTGCAACTTTCCCTTGCCCTTGTCCGGGCGGGGCTGGTCCGCTGTCCGGGACACAGACCCCAAGCTCTCCCTTGGCGAGACAGGACGAGGATCACCAATCCGTCCCGCCATCCTCTCCGAAACCGGACGACGGCGCGTGTCACCTAGCCTATTGAAGGCAGAGGCTTTTCCACGCGCTGGGGTCTGCCCGGGCCGAAGAGGGGAAGCAGGGTGGGAGTGGGACGACGCCGTGTCCTGGGCCATTACCCCCTCATTGTTGCCTATCTGGACGGCCAACTGTTGGGGATGAGGAGGTGGAGTGACGTTCCCCCCGGTCCTTGGCAAGAGTGCGCTGAGGACGGTGGGGTTCTGAGCCAGACTGACGATGATGACCGACAACGCGGCCTGGACCTGCGGATCCACGGACGGAGAGGCCGCGGCCATAGGCTGGGCCGGGGCGTGGTCCGTCTTCTCAGCTCGTTTCTTGTCCAAGCCGATGCGGGCGTCGGGGACTCCGCCGTTGAGTTGGTTGCGGAGGTCCGTCGTGAGGTTGAAGGCCTCCTGGAAGAGGTCCCCTCCGCCGGCCTGGTCGGCCGTGGCGTCCTCATCGTGCTCCCTGGGCTCTTGGTCCTCAGGGATGACCTTGCTGACGAGGTTGCGGTTTGACTTAGTTCTCCCCATGATCAGTGGTTAGCTGTGCTTGGTAGCGACGAAGGGTGCTAACTTGATTGTTCTAGCTCTCAACGAGAGCACCAAATGATAGAGTATATCTAGAGAGAAGTGAGAGCTAGAGAGAGAAGTGCAATAATATGCTTCAATAGAATGAATTTGTAACCCCCATAACTACTCCCAAAGGGAGTATTTATAGAGAAAATTAGGGCTGGGCTCCCAAGTCTTGGGCTTGGGAGGCCCATTTACAACTGGACCACTACTGGGCCGTATACAAAGCCACTAATGGGCTGTACAAATGAATAAGTATAAAATCCGGTTCTGTGAGGTCTTCGTGGCCGACGAGGGCGTGACCGACGAGGGCACCCGGGTTCTTTGGGCTCAGGACCATAATCTGAGTTGGCCCCTTTTCGGCCGACGGGGGCGTCTTGGCCGACGAGGGTGCCACTCTGTGTCTTGCGCTCTCCGTTCCTCCGAGTATGTGGGTCCGGGGGCTCAGACCCATATACTCCATCAGTAGCCCTGGGTGTATATTATATAGATTATAGAAAAGTGTTTAGAGTACATTAGGAAACATAATATAAAAGGAATCCTAATACAAGAAAACTACTAAATAATAATTACTCTATTAAGTTTAAGACCCGGCCCCCAGATTAATGAGATAAGTCCAAAACTGCATCTATGGCCAAAGCCGACCCTCGCCGAGGTCAGCGTCAAACCCGGCTGCCGCTGCCACGACTACCATTGCTAGCACTGGTACTACGACTACGATTACTACGACTACCACCACCACTACCACCTCCACAACCACCACCACGACCACTAGTAATAATAATATAATAATAATTAAGTAGGTTAAAACTCTAGTGCTCTTGATACCATGTGAGAATAATGGAATGACTTACCCAATATGGTAGCCCTGGGTGTATATTATATAGATTATAGAAAAATGTTTAGAGTACATTAGGAAACATAATATAAAAGGAATCCTAATACAAGAAAACTACTAAATAATAATTACTCTATTAAGTTTAAGACCCGGCCCCCAGATTATTGAGATAAGGCCAAAACTGCATCTAAGGCCAAAGCCGACCCTCGCCGAGGTCAGCGTCAAACCCGACTGCTGCTGCCACGGCTACCATTGCTAGCACTGGTACTACGATTACGATTACTACGACTACCACCACCACTACCACCTCCACGACCACCACCACGACTACTAGTAATAATAATAATATAATAATAATCTGTAATAACAATGATAATAGCAGTAGCAACAACAACAACATCAATATTCTAAACATATCTGAATGTTTTTTGTCAGATCTTATCTGAATCACTTTGATATTATCTGATCTGAATCTTTCTAATATGTTCTGATTTTTTTATTTGATCTGAACTTGTCTGATCTCATTTCTGTTTTTTATGAATCTGAATAACATAAGAATAAATAATACTCCCTCCGTCGCACTATCATGATCTCATTGCGATTTACGATTCTTGACCGATGATAAAGCAAATAAATCACTGTCTCCATTCAAATTATCTTTAGGAAAATATTACATATTCTGAAACTATATTAAAAAGCTTTATAAAATCGCAAAAGCTAGAATCAAATTTGATAAAAATTAGATATATAAAGTAAAAGATTAAGAGTAATTTGTGTTAACGAAGTGATCGAACAGGAACCGAGACAAAAATAGCCGGAGAAAGAGCAGGAAATAAGAACGAGATAAATTTACTCCTCCTTGTAAATTCTAGCTTGATCTATCTAGTACAAGTTGCATGGAATGTTTGGTGGATAATACAGTCAAAGTCTATATATGCCATTCATCACTTTATAAACGCGTTTCAACGGCAGGTGATTCCTTAACTAGGAGGGAATCCCTTCAAAGTAAAATAGAACGAAAGAGAAACTATTACTCAGTTGCCTTCATTCTCTCACGCCTATATATATTGAGGGTTTGGCAAAAGGGCAGGGCTAACGAATGGGCATTTCCATGGTGAAACCGATGAAGCTTGCTCGTGGACTTTTCCAAGGTCAAGGTAATGAATATCGGTCAAATCTAGGAATTAATAAAAAGTACAGTAATTATTCTAGACTTAGGGAAAATCGAAAAATTAAAATATTTACCACCTGCCTGGCCTGGTGACCATATTTTTCATAGTTTTTATTGGTATCAATTTAGCTGTGCTATTAATTAATTAAAAAAATGGATTGGGATGCAGAAACTAGGCCATCATCATCGACGGCCGGTGAACCAACGACGAATAGTGCGGCGGGCTTGGGTGAACAGCGGGTACCCGACCCAAAAGCTTTCACCTTCATGGAGCTCAAAGCTGCCACCGGGAATTTTGGTGCAGAAAACGTGGTTGGGGAGGGAGAGTACGGTATCCTCTTCAAAGGTTGGGTAGACCAAAAGACGTTGGCTCCGTCGTCCCAACCGGGAACCGGAATGGCGGTGGCTGTAAGGATACTTTCACGAAGGATGCTTAGGCCTATAAATCAAGAAACTGAAGTAAGCTAGTATTTACAGTTTGATATACAGATATACTCCACAGTTTTTAAGTACGTACGTAGCATGTTTCCAACCCTTCGATAATATTGGAATTGGCTCAAATCTCAGTAGAGTTAATTTAACGAAATTAATGAAATTCTGGGTGAAGCTAGCGGCTGAGCCTCGTGAAATAAAAGTTTTATGAAAATATTATTAGAACTCCATCTTCAATAACTTTACTCAATTCACCTAGAAAATTAAATCATAAAAAATTTCAGCTAAAAATTCAATCGGTAAGGTCGTCAAATGATTTTTTGAAGTTAACTGCGCTAAAATATACATATAAAACGCAGTTAACTTTCAAAAATCATTTGAAGACCTTCCCGATTGAGTTTTTAGCTGAATGCTTTTGTGGATAAACTAGACTTGACGAAGAACATGGCATAAACATTTCATGAAAAAAACCACCGGGAAGGGCACCAAAAGCCATCGGCCGGACGGCGATTCTGATCCGGAATTCCGAACCTGAACATTTGTCATATATATACATATATATATACACACATATATATATTAATATATATACATGCAAAGTGAGAATGAATCTTGTGCATTCATTTCCACATCTAATGGTTCAAAATGAGCCAAAACTGCACAAAATTCGACCAAAATTGCGGTGATAATTTCGTAAATATGTTGCACTTTTTCGTTACCGCGAAAAAGTGCAACAGAAACACGCAAAAGTGCAAGCGAAAGATGCAAAAGTGCATATCTTCGCACTTTGCACGGGAAGAGGTCTTTTTATTTGAACTCTTCCCTATATATATATATATATATATATATATATATATATATATATATATATATATATATATATATATATATATATATATATATATATATATATATATATACACACACACACACAACACACTACAAGCAGTAAAAATATATTCAAATTTTATGTTTCCAACTTTTGATCCCTCAATATAATTTTTTTAATTTTTTTTTCAAACTTCGATCTCTGACATGATATACATTGATATATGTGGCTCGGCCACTATTGCGTGCAGTATGAAGTTAAAGGCTGGGCTCAATTCCAGCACAAAAATATCGTGAGGTTGATTGGATATTGCTTGGATGATTCTACACAACATCTTATGGTCCATGAATTCATTGGAACGGGAAGTACTTTACATAACCATCTTTTTGAGAGTGAGTAAAATAATGGTTTCCTTCGTTAAGCAAATTTTTGATAAGCTAAAACTAATTTAAATGGAAATTGTATATTGATTGCGTCTCGTACAAGAGCGGTAATGAAAATGACCAGAACAACAAAAATGATGTCCAAGTAAGCAATATTGAGTGAAATTTAGAATGTTATTCAAATCAGGAGCCTCCTCCTTACAATAGATCTCGGTCCTACTTATAAAAGAGGTAGTTAATCCTCCTTTTGCTCATTATTGATGGTTTCGACCGTTACGATGACATTCAAAGTCATCTTTATGTCGTCATTAATATCGGTCAACCCTTTTGAATAACTCATGCCTTAATTACATTAATAGCTATAATAATACATGCAAAATCGTTATAATGATTAGCTAGCATTAAACCTAATAAATACGTCATTTATCGTCGTGGTCAAGCCTCTTGAATGTAGAATAAGCTGTCAAATTCGTGTACCAACATATACATCTAGTGAATAATTATGTGTCTTTTATGCAGGGCCGTGTGGGCCAGTCCCAGATTTTTTTAGAGTTTGTATAATATTCAAATCTATCCGTCCCTAAAAAAACTTTATATATCAAAATTTATAAAGTTTTATGAAAATTGAATTATTTTTTGTAGACTTTGTAGCGGTTTTAATGTAGTATCTGAATATGTTAATTGTATTTACTAAAAATAATTTGAGTTTTTACAGGGATCATTTAACTTTATCGTTGATCAAACACGGATTGAAAGTTCTTTTAGGGATACAGGGAGTGTACAATATAAGATCTACACCGAAGAACTAGAGGAAAATTATTATACTAGTATGTGTATAAGACAATGAATTGAATCCTTTACAAGATAAACTTATATATAGACTTCATCGGCTTATATAATGTCATGGGCCGGGAGCATTATTCTAAAACTCGCTAGGCGCTAGTCAGGTGGTCGAGGTGCCTAGCGCCTAAGCAAACGACTAGGCCGATTTGTTCCCGACTAAGTCGATTAATTATCTATAGTTAGGGCCAACAAGGCCAAGTAGGCCAATTTTTAGAAGCTTGATCGGGAGTAATCTAGTGGGTTAGGCCCAATACAAGAAATGCAATCTTGGGTATCCCTAATCCCGCGGTCCGAGGTAGTATATGTCACGCCTCGGACCTACCCGGACACGTCAACAATACGCCGTGCAGTATGAATAGTCAACCGCAGTTCAACACATCCATACTATACAAGGCGTCTGGAATATCATTCACACATAGTACATCCATAAAAAAACATAGTGTAAAACATTCATTAAAGCAGCAGAAACATTAATACAAGTGTTCAAGCCACACTTGGCAAACTTAGGCATACAAGCCCTCAACTAATTATTCAAAAAATTAATATCCATGAGCATTATTTAAATTGTTTTTCAAATGGGAACGGAAGAAGCACGAACCAAGTCTTCTTCCTTTGATCTCCCCGAAACAATGGGCGGTGTTAGCAACCTTCAAGTTCTACCTGAAACTGTGAGGTGGCCTCCCCCGTGAATGGGAGGTCAGTACTCTGAAGCATTTGAAAAGTACAATGACAACTGTACTACACTGTATATAATCAATGTTTCAATTTCTAAGACCCTCAATCTAGGGTGATACTATATTATAGGCCGTAACCCTCTGTTACCCTATTTAAAACCTACTTACCTTACATATAAGGTCAAGTGGCCGGCCCGTGGGCCCCATGCTTACCTTATCACGTCATTTCACTATAGTAGAGTCACACTCACCTATATCGTTCCGTCGTGCTAGAGGCTGAATCTAGTCACTCCATTTCGTGCTAGAGGCTTCCTCTAGTCATCTTATATTATGCTAGAGGCTTACTCTAGTCATTTCTCGTTGTGTTAGAGGCTTCCTCTACTCACTCTTCATTATGCTAGAGGCTGACTCTAGTCATTTTACGTTGTGCTAGAGGCTGACTCTAGTCACCTTTCCATATGTTAGAGGCTTCATCTAATCATATCTTTAAGATTCCTAAGCAACTTCTATGCCTAGAATCACTTTATATTGAGTAGCCTTTGAGGCCTACTCCTAGCTTTACTTGGCATCTTTACATTCATCGACAAAGTATCTCATAAGACCACTTAAGGTATATCTTCCATAATCCAAGCTCTTAGGATTTATTCTATCAATTTTTATACTAACATTCCGGCTAGTATGTCAATACTAACCAATTAATCTTAGAACATCCAAGTTCGAATTTACAATCCTATTGTCCATCTCAAGTGATTGACCCTTTCAAATATGATCTAATAATCTTAATGTCACAATGTCACTTTTATCCATTCATGAATTCTCTACATGAAGTAAAAGCATATCTCATCACAATATTTCACAATTTATTTCATTATCATGCTATCATATTCATAATACACAATCATGCACAATTTCCTCCAAATTTGTATATCATGCTTCATTTACTCATATGCAATAATATTTTCATTTAGGCATTATTAATCATTAATAATCCATGAAAATCACATTTAATACTTTAGGTAATCTTATGAAATTAACTCACTAATTATAAGCAATATAGTCAATCATTCTCACCTTGAATGAGCTTTTTGAAGTTCTACCCTTTTCGGTTGAACTCCGGCAAAACACCGGCGAACTCCGGCAATACTCTGGCGAAACTCCGGCGAAACTCCGGAAAAACTCCGGCGAAAGTTAGGAACACCTTAGTCAAGCTCCTATCCAGGTTTTATCATCACAAAACCTATATCAACACAAATAACCTTTAAAAGGTTATTTTCCGGTGAATCGGTCATTTGGCTTCCAAGTATGTTCTTGGACTTAGAACTACCTTCCAATCCCTTGTTCTATACTTCTAAACATGTAGAACAATACTAGGGTTCCTCCATATGCTATACAAGTCATATGGTAAATAAAAAGTAGAGGAAAAGTTATTATAAGGTTATTACCTTAATCCTCCACACTTTTCCTAACTTTCCCCTTCTTAAATCTTCTATCTTGGACTCCTAATGCTTTAGCTCGAATTCTGCAGGATGGTTTGAGAGTTATCCTTCTCTTTCTTGGTGGTATGGGTCGAGCTAGAGGATGGAGGTGAGAGGGGATGGTTACTTTTGTCTCAAATGAGCAATAAGAGAGGGTGAGGGACCCTCTTTGACATTTTAGATTCCAAATGGCTTTCCTCCACTCATCCTTTTATCATTCCACCCCCATAACTCATATTGCACACACAAAAACGTGGGGTGGCCCCCACTCATGTGTGAGATCATCCCATTGTGTTCCAATCTGTACAATCGGTCTCTAAAATTGTGTTTTTCGGACTGTTTTAATTATATTTTATTTTATCGGGTCAAATAAAATATAACACATGTTCCAAATCATTATAGTAATTTATAATGGATGTACATTCCCCAACTTATATTTAGAAGTCTCCGAAATTCATTTCGGGCTGTTATCCGATAAATTACCAATACCGGTAATTGGGCCTCGTTTGACCAACGGGTCAACTCTATGACTTCGTTATGGCCCAACTAAAGTATCCACCACCATATCCACATCATTTAGACCAAGATGAATATATTATTTGGTCTCAGAACTATCGGGTGGTCCCCGCTCCCGATGTGGGCCCCACGTGCAATTTACCATTCACGCAAAATAAATAATAAAGATTCACAACTTCTCAAATTCGTAATTCATTCTTCAAGGTTTATTACATAATTTACTAAAAAGTAAATATCCTTGGGGACGGTGTTATAGTATATATCCATCAGGAGTCTCCCACTCCCTAAAGCAAGAAGCCTTCGAGGCGAACGAGAATAGTCTGAGTGCTCTCTGAATTATTATTGTCGCTCTTGGTGTCTTGCTCAGTTTGGAAAGGATCTTCGCCCTTTCCGACAATGAGGGGTTGTCTTGCTAGCTAAAACACCTCCATTGAAAAAAACTTTGTGGGAAAAATCTCCTACTCAAGGAAAAAATATTACATCGCTTTTGAAACGGGTGAAGGGAGAAAATGCACATTCCGCCAAGCTGAGAGGCGATCAGAAGAGAATGACTGAGATCGATCTTCAAGTAAGCAACTGTCACCACCCTAGAGGAGAACGGATGAGACTGGTCTTCTCTGATACATAATGTGTCTGGTCTGCTAAGTCTCGTATCCTCGCGCACGATCAAGCAGCGCGACCTTAGTATGTCAGCCTCGCTGATGTTGGACTCGGCCTCGGCCTCGACCAACTCTTACACTAGCTCATCCCTTGCTTCCTTGGATATGGTGAGTCCCCCACCCCTTGAGGCGAGTGGAGATGAGGTGAAAAGGAGTAAGATAATCATCATTTGGTTGTACCTACACATTAATGAAACCATCAAATGTAGAACAGGTTCAACAGATTATTAATGCCAGACCATGATGTTGGCAGGACCACGGCCTAGTGAGTAAGTGAGTCGGCCTCGCTACTCGAAAAGAGTGACCTCAAGTTTTCATGTAAGGCCTCAACTCGCAAGTATGAAAGTCAAGGATGTGTTGTGTTAACATTTATATTGGAGCTTATGAATTGCCATTTCAAACATAATATGCCATGACCCGTTAATTGGGCTTGAGCGTCGAGTACTCAATCTGTGTCTTTGTTCGGTGATCAGATCGCATAAGTCAATATGAATAGGGAAATTTTCTGGGATATGACTAAAATATATTAAGTTTCCCTAAACATGACTAGCTATGTTTTTAGACATTCGTATGACTGAAAATAAAAAATAAAAAGAGAAATGTGTTCATAATAAAATGTTTAATGAAGTATCCTTATTTAAAAATGTGTATTTTACACTATTTTAGTCAAATTAACGATACTGCACTTTATACTGCAGTCACTGCATGATATTATTCACATTTGTTAAGAATCAGTGCACTTCCCGGCAACATTAATTCTCTTCTCATCCACGTTACGAATTTCTTTATAGTTTTTTTAAATGTAATAAATTTAAATAGATTACATCTCATGCCGTCGTTATTGCTCTATGGTCTTCGATTTACTGCCCAAAGCATTTCATCGATGCATTCATTCACTGCGCATGTACAACACTGTCTAATGTCATGCTCACTGTCCATATTCAACACTATTTATTGCCATTTTCATTGCCCATGTTCACAAACCTTAAATTCACAAACCCTAAATTCACAAACCATAATTTCATAAAAAAATTAAATAGACTGCGTTACGACGACAACGCGGCAAGCAGACATGGAGACGGCGGCGGAGGCCGCGGTTAGGTGCTAGGCATGGGACAGTCACGACGCCACGGCAGCCACGGATAGGTAATAGCCGTTATATTTAATTGTGTTTAACATAAGTATTTATAAGTATTTGTTGAAGAAAAGAAGAGAAATTGGTCAAATACCTTCGGAATGAGTGCTAGAGCATAAAACATTGCGATAAACGGCTTTTTAGACCAAGAGGATGACGTTCTGCTCAAAATTCAAGTATAACTTATTGTAGAGAATTCCAACTAACTTGATTCAAATTTCTTGTGGATAATAATTCAAAAAGATACAAATGTTGTGAATACGTCATGGCCAAAATATGAAAGTGTCAAGACCAATCAACCAATAGAGTCATATGTTGTGGGTGAGATTTCAAGACGTATACATGTCAATGTTTTATCCATATCTTTTGATTGGCTGATTCAAAACACGTAATTAAAGTTTTGGTGTATAGAAGACTTCATTACCTACAACTTTGGTTAAGAAGTCATGTCCAAATTCATAACTACTTTTATAGTCTTTGTTCTTCATGGTGTTCTTGAGATATGGAAGCCTATTTCTTCCAACCATTGATTTTTAGGTAATATTTCCTTTATATTTACATATTCTTCTACATTCAAAGTATTGTAATCTTGATTAATATGAGCGTTAGTGGCTAAGTCCTTACGTCAAGGCTCGAGATGAACCTCTACGCTTGTTATTTTTTATATTTATATTAAGTCGAATTTTATGATTTATTCTTCTTATGTTTAACCTTCCATATACGTTATGCAACATAATAGTATAATATATGTATTGATATGAAGTAACTAACATTGAAATATCAATTGGACACTAGAAGAAGTTATTCGTGTTTTACTCTCTTTAAGCTAATTTATATAATTACGTTGCATAAAATCTAGCGGTTTATATGGTCAATTAACGTTGCAATATAAATCGCTCTCTAGAATAATAAACATACAAAGAATTGAGGATAGAAACATACCTGATTTTGTATGGTGCGTGTGTGGTATCTTAATATTCAACAGGGATTTCTCTATATGAATGTGAGCTGTAACGGGACTCACACGTAGCGAAAACAACACTCTCACTCCTTACCGGAGTCGGGAATATAATAGTGATACCGTGCTCATAAGAATTGAAAAGGTTTATTGAATTCTAGTTAACGTTTGGGTGAATCTCGATGCCTTGGTCATTTTATCATATATTCACTAAAACACCAAAAATCCTTGCACTTAATTTTTATTCTCTGTTTGAATATTCAAAATTGAACTTTATAGAACCATGTTTCTCTGTGGATTCGACCCGGTATTTTACCTGAAATTATTATTACATCGGCACTTGTATACTTGCAAGTTTAGCCCGATCAATATATAGGCGTTAGGCATGGGATGGTCGCAAACGCCACGACATGGGGATGGCCGTGCCGCGGCGGAAAGGAGACGGCCACGCTGCCGCGGCAAGCAGACATGGAGATAAATGCGGTAGGCACGTAGGCATGGGGACGGAGGCGGCGACGCGCAGGCTTGGGGACGGATGCGGCGGCATGCAGGCATGGGGACGGAGGCGGCACCACGACATGGGGACGACCACAAAAAGCAGAAATGGAGACGTAGTATGTACATAGGCATGGATACGACAACGGTAAGAACATATGGAGACGGCGGTGGTGGTTAGGCACATAGACATGGGGACGACCGTGGCATAGGGACGACGTGGGCGGCGGGTGCCGCGGCGACGAGGGTGGAGGATGCCACATCGACGGAGTGGCGGATGCTGCGACGGCAGGGGCGTCGAGTGCTACGACGACGGGATAATGGCTGGATTCTTTAAAAAATGAGTAGGAAATTAGGGCTTTAGAATATCTATCTAAGGGAATATTAGTCCATAAAAATATGGATTTTAATATTATATTGAGAAAAAACTAATGATGTCACAGATTGGAAAAGTGAACGAGTTTTAGGGGGTGTTTGGAAAACGGTGTTTCAGCCAAAAAATGACGGTTAGACCACTTTGAGCATTTTCAATAAATGAAAATGTTGTTTGGTAAGTAGTTGTTCGGCACTAGCGTTTTTGGACGGAACCACTAAAATGGAAACGCTACAAATAGGACAGTTTTGGGTTAGCGTTTTGAAAATGTCGTTTCTACTAATTTTATGACCAAACAACTAAATATCAAAAAAAGTTTTTGCCACATTGAGTCCTTCAACTATTATGTCATTAACACTTGTGGTATATGACTTTGATTTTTTTCACTTTTAGTGCTCAAATATTGTGCTAGAGACATTTTTTTTACCCGTCTTTGAAAATTTTCATTTTTAGTTCCACTTTCATAAAAGTGACACTTTTGGTCCTTCAACTATTATAATAAAGACATTTTTAGTCGTCCACTTATTGTGTCAAAATCATAGTGGAAAGACTAAAGTGTCAATTTGATAATAATCAGGGATTAAATGTGGGAAACATTGAAGTTAGAGACTAAATGTGTCCCTAGCACAATAGTCGAGAATTAAAATTCGAGAATCAAAAGTGTCAATGACACAATAGTCGGGGATCGAAAATGAAAAAACTCTTACCAAACATCTTCCGCCAACCCGCCAACCCACCAACTTATTTCATTAGTCAAATCTGCTGACTGAATCTGCTATTGACAACTCTCTAATCGCTAACCGCTAAATGCCAAAATATAATGAGTCATACCTAGATCAGAGTAATTTTCACACCCAAAATATACTTCGTATATTCTAATATTTATTTATTGATATAAATGATATTGGCCGTACATATTTCCCGACCTTGAATTGCGCATTTCAAACGTTAGTATCATAGGAAACGTATAAACTTGTGTGTAGTTTTCACCACTGAGCACACATTTATACACAAAAGAAGCCATCATCAACAACGACAACAAGCATGAGACAACTTACGAAATGCGGTCGTATACTAAATCAACTTCTAAGGGATGAATAGTAGGAAAGCTAATTTATATAATAGTATTAACAATGAGCTCACAAAAAGTATTTTCTAGTATACATAATGGTAGATTTGACCATTCACACCTATTATAGTTTTTTTAGGAATAATTGAAAATTGTCATTACTATCAAGATCAACTCAAAAGGTAAATTTGTGTCATCTATTGCATAAAATGCAGGAGATGATAGACTTATGGAGCTTTGGTCTATAAGGATACGTTTAGCGGTTGATGTTGCGAGAGGGTTGTGCTACTTGCATGGTCTCAATGGAAATGTCTTTTACGGTGATCTTAAGCCTACCCATATCTTTCTAGACTCGGTATGTAATTATTTATGTTTGACTCTCTTTTAATATTAATTATATAATATTAGGGGCTCCTTAGGACGTCCACCTCGAATTTCAATATGTTCCTAAACCAGTGGCAACACCAAGAATGCTTGCAATATGGTCCCTCTCTGCACCTTCGATATTATTTGGACACAATTATTATATAAATAAATAAGACACATTCTTCGTAACGAAGCTAGTATTGATCAACTCATTCATTGCAAGAGGTCCACGAATGGTACATATAGCTCACAAATTGGCACAAACTGCTCTTTCTATGTTGGATGGTCATTTCATATTTAAGTATTGTCTTAATTGGAATGAAAAGTCGAATTAATAATATGTCAGTTTTCTTTAAAAAATAATGATTATTATACTATGACACACATGTATATAGATATGTGTTGGGTTTCCTCCTTAATTGAGAAGTTCATGACAATTCTAGAATTTTGTGAATATATCTAGAATTCTTTAGATGTGTGAAGAAATGTATTGAATGTTCTAGAATGTTCTGGAGCTTTCTAGTGAGGTGTGGAATTATTTAGAAGCATGTGGAAGAGTGTAGAACATTTTAGAGCATTGTGGAGTTTTCTAGAGAAGTGTGGAATACTCTAGAATCGTGCGGAAGTGTGTGGAAGCCTCTAGAACATTCTAAAATAGTGTGGAGTTTTCTAGATCCTTCTAGAAGATTAAAGAAGTTTGTGGACACTTCTTGAAAGAATCTAGAAGTGTAGTTATGTATAGAAAGTTCTAGATAAGATTTGAGGAGAGTAGTATAAATAAGGGGTGAGACTCATCATTCTTGTGTGAGAGCCTAGTGTGAGCCTAGAAAGGGATTAGAGAGAGGCTCCTTGAGTGATGAGTGAAAGAGCCTCAAGGAGAGCTCTTGAGTGAGTTAGAGCCTCATTGAAAGAGCTTAGGAGAGTGAGAGTGAAGTAATCTCATATACAAAGAGTGAAACGAGCTATCCGTTAACTTGTAAATCTCTCTTGTACATTCAAATTGTATAATACAAAGTGATATTGTTAGATTGGGCCTTTGTATTAGAAGTGAGTGAGCGAGTGTACAAGTGTCATTTGAACTCATGATCCTGGAAGAGTTTGGGGGATCGTGGTGTGGTTTTCCCCAAGCTGCTCTTTCTATGTTGGATGGTCATTTCATGTTTAAGTATCATCTGTAACGAAAAGTCAAATAAATAATATGTTAGTTTTCTTTAAAAAATAATGATTATTATATATACTATGACACACACGTATATAGATATGATATGTTTATTGTCTTATTGTGCTTCAACTCTACAGGATTACACTGCAAAACTTTCAGATGTTGGCATCAAAGGAATTTCAATTTTTTATAACAGGCAAGGTTCTTCCATTGGGCATGCACACGCGATGACGATACCAGAAACAGCATACATGTCACCAGAACACTGCCAAACAGGTTTAAACTCCTTACCAGTCACTATAATTATTTATTCTCCGCACGTTAATTATGCTTACTAGCTAGGGTTGTGTTCACTTCGGGGAATCGGGGCCCAAACTAATATGGGAAAAATCGAAACAGAATCCGAAATTCGATTCTCATACAAATATGAGTTGGTATACCGTGGGAGCGGCTCACGGTGAACATCCTGCTCCTAGAGTTCTTTTTTCTTAATTTCAACAGCCTTGTGTAACTCATGTTTAAAGTAATGTAACTCACATCGATAAGAAATGTAACTTGAGTCGAGTTAAAATGTAAGTTGTCTAAAACAGAATATAACATTAATTCCAATGTAAATAATGAGAAAAGAAGTCTAAGTGCCCAATTATTTTACATGAATAGTGTATATGTTTTGTGTTTAATATCAAGGCTATAAAAAATGTATTTTTATAAAAATAATTTTTCTTTGAACAACGTGGGTTTATTTTGTTGTGTAACTCGCATTATATTGTAGTGTAACTCTCATTATGAAAAATGTAAACCACGTGTAAGCAGGATGTAACATGTTGAGGAAAGTTGATATGTAACTCGCGTTAATAGATATGTAACCTGAGATGCAAGGGCGGATCCAGGATCGAGAGATGGGGTGGGCTAAGCAGCAGTAATTTTTTTTACTATACATACCAAATTTAGCTCAAGGTTGTTATCGAACAAAGATTTTTTTGAATTATATACTCGAGTTCGAGCTTGATTTCGAATCTAATTTAATGAATTGAGTTTAACAAGTTTCGATCTCGAACACGGAGTAGGTTTTGAGTTTGAATAATTATTCAAGCCGAGATCGAACATAGTGATGTTTCGATCCGAACACGAGCCTATCGTTCACATATAAATTATACTATTGTACATATCATAAAATTTAAACGTTTTAGTGCAATTTTTATAAATTTATTAATGATTAATAAAAATTTGAATACTTATTGAATAATTTGAACATGAATCTATTAACGAGCTAGAATAGTCTAAACTTCTACATTCGAGCATGTCTATCGAGCATTGAAATCCAAATTTGAGATAGTTTGGATTTCAGGGACTATAGCATGTGGAGGATCCTCATTGACTAGATCTTGCACTGTTGTAGGTATAGGTTCAGAACTCCCTTCACCAGTTTGACGATTCACTTTCGAAAAGAATGATGAAATCAACTTCTTTCCCTTCTTGGCAACATGTTCATTATCCATTCTAAAAAACATTTTCAATATTGGTATATATTACAATACTTATATATAAAAAATAAAACTATTTAATTATTTACTGAAAAATTCAATTAATAATCAAAATGATTGCATGATTCCCTAGCCCTAAAACTCTAAAATGCTAAAAATAATAATAATTAATACATTAATAGTTTAATACACAATCGGTTAATCACAATTTACAAATTCACGCCAGAAGTTCATAACTTCACTGATTCACAAATTAAAATTCACGAACTACACAAATTAAAATTCAACACCAACACCAAACTCAATCGGTCAAATTATACCAAATGGGCACAAATTACTTGGTAAAAGGGCAAGACCGCAAGAAGATTTACCTGGAGGAATGAAGGCTGGCCGCTGGACTGCCGTCTGCCGGAGTGTCGGTCGCTGGAGCCTGGAGGACTGGTCGAGAAAGCGAGAGGCCGAGAGAGGGAGGCTAGAGGCAGTTAGGTCGGTCGGAGCCAGAGGCGTTCGGTGTTCCGTTCGCTGCTTCAGTGCGGCGGCTGTTCCGTCTGTAACACTTGAGATTTAATTTAAATGGATTAATAGTACTACTCATACCAACAAGGTGCATCTCCTTTTAAAGGAGCTCATTAGCTAAGAACTCCAAAGTTAAGCGTGCTTGCACGTGAGTAGTCTTGGGATGGGTGACCCCCCTGGGAAGTTTCTCAGGGCGCGCATGAGTGAGGACAAAGTGCGCGAAAAAGGCTAGTGGCGGTTTGTGAGGACATTACTAGAGGTCAGAAGTAACTACCTCGGGGCCTACGGGGCCAGAGTGTTACACCGTCGCCCTTCGCCGTTCGCCACTTCGCCCGTTTCGTTCGTTGTCTTCGTCCCTTCGGTGTTCGGAGAATCGGAGGTTCCGAGGTTAAGTTGCCGACTACGTGTTCCGAGGTTCCGTATGGTTTAGTTGCCAGTTTTTTTTGTGGGCTGGACTGGGAATTATTTGTGGGGTGGGCTGACAAATAATTTAGGCTGGGTTGAGATTTGAAAATGTACCAATACTATTAAGAAAAAATGGGCTGGGCTGAAGCCCACCCCTGGCCTAGCATACATCCGCCCCTGCTGAGATGAATGGAAATGTAAATTGTTTTAATACAAATATAACTTTTCTAAGGTGAATGAACATGTAACTACAAAAACCTTTGGCTTTCTCCCGCAGAAACCCAATCCCAATCCCTATCCCCTGCAGTAACTTTTCCATGGATGGCAATCCCACCTTTAGGAGCCCTAATTTCAGAGAAATCCAATCCCCTGCAAAAACTCATCCCAATACCAATCCCTCGCAGTAACTTTTCCAAACATTTATTGGGGAATGGGGATGGATTTGAAGAATCGAGAGGGGATTACGAAGCTCGTATGTGTTGAGCTTAGAAATCATGGAATTGACCCACGACGGGAGATCTGAAGGGTTGTAGTGGACGATTTCCGATGTAAAATTCGACAAGTAGCTCGTCTTGCTTAACATCACACATCACATCTTCAAGCTGCTGAAGCTTCTGCGCAACCTCCACCATGTTAGATGACCTGACCTTGTACCCCAAAACCTCCAAGAGATCGTCCATCTCGGCGTCCAGCTCGCTCTCGCAAGCAGCATAGCGCTTCCTGCAGCCACCCATGGCGGCGGCGCTGCCGCCATCGACAGAAAAAGAGTCTTGGAAAAAGTTTTGATCGAACGAGTCTCTGTTCATCATCTCTCAAGTGGGAAGAGGAAGGCTGATTTTTATTAATTAAAACAACACCGTTTGGGATCGATCAGCACACCATGCGCAAGGTGGGCCTATCCCACGATATAATTTGCCTACAAATATACAAACCGAAATATACAAATATACAAATTCGATTCCGGCTAAAACCTGATTTTTTACAAAAATTTAAAGTAATTTTCCCTTTCATGAGTAGAGTGCATAAATCAACAAACATCCAAATGAAAATATTAATGATCCAAAATTTATTGAATATGAAACTTTTGATTTCGCGAACTCAATTGTGTATAAACTAAAATAAGTAAAATTGAAGTTAATTTTTTATTTTAATTGGTTGAAGTTAGGGTAGATGATCATTTTAATTTTTTCATATAATTTGTTCTTTATTTTAGATAAATATCAGTAAATTCAATCAATTATATTGCTTCAGCTAGAATTGCATCATTTCTATCGATTCAACTAATTTTAGTGTTACTAAACATAATTGAAATTTTCTCAAATATTATCATTTCCCAATTAAATTAAATACTAGTGATCTTCAAAATTGGAATTGAGATATGTATATTTGTATATTATGATTCCAACCTAAAGAGGATTGAGATATGTGCACTTGTACATCATTAAAACATGAAAGTTTATAAATCATAACTTACAACTTCCCGTTAAAAAATTAAGTTAAGAATGAAAATTTTCTAATGACTATTTATCACAACTTCCCGAGTAATAATTACTAAAGAATGAGAATATGTGATAAAACATTCATAATATCTACTTATACTTAATAATAAAGCACAACCTTCTAATTGAAATTGAATTCTCAATTAATTTTTATGGAGTACAATGATTGAATAGTCATTAATTGCAATTAAGTCCTAAATTCATAGTATTTACATATAGTCCTAAATTCCTTATAAAATACCCAATAAAAACAATAATTTCTGGGGGAAACCGTCAATTATGTTCTCGTATTATCAAGAAAAAATCAATCAGGTCCTCATACATTTAAAAAGTCAATCAAATCCTAAACTTTGAAAAAAAGTTCAATTGAGTCAATTAGTAGGTTATCTACTATGTCAGTTGATGATGTGGCACACATGTAGCGGTCCATGTGTGACACATCATCGGCAAATCGCTGACAAGGCTGCCACGTGTGCGCGACGTCAGTGATGTCTGGGCTGCCACATGTGCATCACGTCAGCATGTGGCTTGTTGACGTGGCAGGTAACGTGCTAATGGACTCAATTGAATGTTTTTGCAAAGTTCGGGGATTTGATTGATTTTTAAAAACTACGAGGACTTAATTGACTTTTTCGTGATAGAACGCGGATCAATTTGACAGTTTTCCCATAATTTCTGTTGAAAAAGATGTATTGCAAATGTCACTGTATCCAACACATACGAGGCAATGATTAAAAACTGATTGATATATTTTTCTCATTTACTTTCAAAATAGACATTTTACGTTTACTAATGAAATTACATTTCAAATCACGCTTAAAACATGAGAAGCATTTTAAAAATATGAATTGTGATTTTCAAAGACAAGAATTGAAATAATACTGATAAAATATGATATAATAAGTAAATTGCGACTACATACACATTGTGTGATTCTCCTAAGTAAATATAAACTATATTTATTTATTTTTTTATGCTCTCCATGAAGTTATGGGAATAATATTTTATACTAAATGTGCATGTGTTTGGGATGATAAAAAATAAATAAATTGAATTAATATGAGATTTTTGCATTCTCTATATTCATTTCATATATAGATTATTGAGTTAAGGAATTGAAATACTATTGATCAAATATATACTACATAATATAATAAGCTAATTGTGAGTACATGCACATTGTGAGATTCTCCTATTAAATATAATTTTTTTTCGTATTGTTTTATTCTCCATAATACTGTGGAATTGATACTTTCTACTTAATGTGCATGCATTAGAGAATAGAGATACAAAAAATAAATAAATTGAGTTATTTTAAAATTTATATATTCAGATTTTTTCTGATCTATATGTTTGCAGTGTGAAATAAATT